ATATTTAAAACCATTTTTGCTATGAAGTAAACATTTTGGGCCTAGAAGAAAGCCCACTGAAATCAATTAACTCTTCTGTGGATTTCAAAAGGATATGTATCATTCCCTTTCCACTATTACCATACTCTCTGCTTCCCTGTCTCCAAGAAAATCCTCTATCCAAAAGGTTGTGCTGCCTTTCAGTTAAACTATCCGTTGTCTTAGGACTCTGCTGATCAGAACTACATTTTCCTCTGGGCCGTCCTGGGCTGCCCTGCCTTGACACGTGGCTTCAGAGGACACATCCTTCTACTTGCCAAGTGGTATTTCTGTCTCCTCTCATAACTCATTTCCCAAAATGCCACAACCACACCCAGCACTTTCCTCAGAGAGTCGTATCAGATTGACTCAGTGCATGCAGAGTTTTCACTAGTAAATAATCTCAGGGAGCCAAACGATGTGTTCAGGAGGGGGTAGTGCTCTCGGAGGCTATTGGCAGTCATTCAGATGACAACCAGCTGCAGAGAGCTTTAAGAACAGTGTTATACACATACACACACACACAAAGAAAAGAAAGAAAGGGAAAATTGTTGACTGAAGTCATATTGCCCTTGACTGAATAGTGAGGAACCTGCTGTCAAGAAAAGAGATATTTGGGAAATCTTAAAAATATATATATAATAATAATTAAATTAAAAAAATAAAAATAAAAAGATTTGTCCATTTTACTGGGTGTGGATCAGCCTTCAATTGTCAGCCTTCAGTTGCCGAGGACAGACAATGGTGATTTATGCTTGATTAGCCCCTCAGTTGACAAAAATTGCTTTTCCAATTGCCTGTTGATTTTGACTAGGAGGACATTGTTGCCTGCAGTTTTGTGAGTGGAGAGCTCGATAAGGGGAGAGTAACTTATGAGAGCTCCAGTTTGCATGGATCCCTGTAAAAGATACCAACACAAACAGCAGCAGGAAGGCTGCATGTCCTAACTATTCACTGTCTGCATAAATGCCTTCCAATACTTTCTCATACACTGTTACAATGGCATTTTCGGTGCTAATATCTTTGATCAAAGTTCCACTACAGGTAACTGGTTTCTGAGTCCCTAGGAGAATAAGCCCTATAGCGTTTCTGTTTCCATTTGAAAGGGATGGCGATGAAATATAAATACAGCTGTATAACCCCTGTGGGGGACAAGTTGGTCCCTATCATTATAGGGAAAAGCCAAATGTTCCTCAATGTTTCAAGAAAAAAATACAAAATTGTTTTGCAAGAGGAGCAGCTTAAAAACTAAACAGATAAACAGAAAACTCCCAAAATATACAGCACATGCAAATAAATCTATTTTTTTTATTGTTCCAGGCACTTCTGTGCAATCATCTTTTCAGGGTTATACCATTTTTTTATTTTTATTTTTTTTCCCTAAGCTCCCATCCATCTCATTCCTGTAATGATAAAAAATAGTTTCCCTCTCCTGGATATTCTGGACAATGCTCTACATGTAAGCTCATCTCCCAGCTGTTATTTGTGCATGTCACTGTTTCTATGAACTCTTTGGGAAGGGAATGACTACTAGGATGAGGATTTAAGAGGTATGTGTCAGGTCTAGGCTCAACAAATAATCACACCAGCCCCTTGAAACACTGAAGCAGTTTACTGGAAGTGTTATCTCTGTTCCTGGACTGCAGACAAAGCCCAGAAAGATCTCAGAGATGACTGAAGATACCCTTATGACTGGCATAAAACCACATTATCATAGTCTAAGTGAACACCAGCCCAGCTGTTGTACTCATACTTGCTCTCAGAGCCTGCAAATGCAGGATGGTTGGAGCTATTTTATCCCGCAGTCAGTGCCAGTTGCAGTGAATCACATCATGTCATGCACACGACGTGGACACTTGCTGTCAGCAGCATGGGCCAGGCAGGAAAAGGATTCAAAGATTTTTCCTCACCTGAAGATATTTCAAGAACGTCAGCAGAGAAAAACGGAGAAATTTACCCAAATTTTGCTGAATCTGTACATCAGCAGAGGCCTGAGGAATGTCAGACTGTCATTTCCAAGAACACTATAATTCATTATGTTTAAAAAGACCTTAGTAACACTGTTTATATTCTGAAATATTTAAATTATGTACTAGCACAAAGAAAAAACCTATCATAACACCCTGAAATGCAAAACTTGTCCCTGAAAATCCTTCTGCAACCCACAAACTACTTAAATTCCTATCAGAAAAAAAAAAGTTTAAGAATTTTTACACATACATATATATTTATACATGTATACATACACACAGAGAACGTATACTGATGTCCTTTTCAACTGTTGTGCTTTGCATATGCCTGCATTTAAAAAATGGCAAGGTTTTATGTTTTCATCTCTGCACGTTTTCCATTTGAGTATCCATTTTACTGTGCTGTGAGAGTTAAACTATACAATAGTTAAAAGTTAATTTTCTTTCCTGCCCCCAAAAAAACAAACAACAAGAAGGAATTTAACCTCATATCCTCACTCTGAAATTAGCTCTATTGTCAAAAGATGACAGCTGTATCCTGATTTCAAGAATTTCATGTTGGAATTAAGCAGCATTTTTGAAAGCATTGTGTTACTTCAAACAGATCCATAATGGTCCCTCAGCAAACCATTTTCAGAAGACTTGTGTAAGTAAGATAAAAAGACACCATTTCTGAAGAGATGCTTTTATGGGCTAGGTCAGAGTGCTCTTTCCATGTTGTTCATTCCCAGTCGAATTTCCTAATAGCCTATCTCCTCAGCTAACAGATGCCCAGCCTCATGTCGGAACCAGATCGAGCCACCACTGAGATGATATCCAGCTCCTTTCTTATTGAGCCGTTTCCCTAGCAGATGGTGCAATGCTGCAGGCACACTCCTTCCTGTTAATTACCAGCCTTCGCTACAGATGGAAATGTCAGTCAGCCTCACAGGTCCTGGTTCCTGCCATTGCCTCAGTCCATAGCCCTCTACCTAGGCAAGATGCTGCCAACACACACCATGTGTTTTGTGACTGCTGACTAGGCAGGCAACAAAAAACAACTTAGTTCATGAATATTCATGGAGGAATGTTTAGAGTTCTGTTCATCTGCAGTGCTTATAGATCTGTTTAAAGGAGATTGCACTTTCCGAAGAGCCCCATGCCCCTTGTTTTACTATGGTGCGGGTAGATGAGTTATCAAAGTGGGTTGCTATAGTAACATATAAAGGACTATTAAATGTCTGTCGTTTGGAGACTTCTATAGACACATCAATTTCTGACTGCCATTTTTTCCATACCTTAAGTGCCCTTTAATTATTCTTGTCCTGCAATAACAGGCCAATAGTCACCAGGCTGAACTGATTATCTAATAACTGTTGATTTTCATTAAAGCCTGATTGCCTCATTATAAGTAACCAATATGAATTCCTTGATCTTTCCCAGTATCTAAGCACAGTAAATCCAGATAGATGAAATTCTCTGTAATCTTTTTAAATTCATTAGACACATTTAATTTAGCGGCTATAGAAAATCTGGTAGTAATCAAAAATACATTTTCAGAAAGATTTTATATAAAGTTTGACTTAGAAGATAAGGAAATATCAACTGTGTCTTTGTGTGTGCATGTGTGTGTGTGTGTGTGTGTGTGTGTCTGGAGGTAATTCATTCTCTTGTGAGATCTGTGCAAGTGTAATGTGTAGATATTAAAATAGCAATATGACTCAGAACGTGCCAATAATATTCTTCAGTTTTTGACTCATGACTGTTCATGAAGTGAGAGTTTACATGTTCCAAATCAGAAAAGCAGGCATCTAGTTTATGTTAAGAACACACTTTTTAAGAAAAAGGGGGATTGTATTCCATTTCCAGCATGCAGAATGAGCAATATGTACAGAAGTAGGGTATGTTTAAACAACAGTATTTTAAATCTGCTCTGTACTGATTGTTGTCAGTTTGCTAATGCTTCAGAAACAGCGCAGAGCACCCAGAAATACCTGAAAAAGACACATGCTGTTTCTTTAAAAAAAGCTGCAAGCCCGACAAAAAAAAAAAAAAAAAAAAAAAAAAAAAAAAGTTTCTACAAATCAATCATATGTACTTTTAGAGCACTGCTTTTTTCCTGCAGTTTTATCCCCACATGAGAGTTGACAGTGCCTGCTGATTTTTTTATCTCTTTCTTGCTTTCCTTGTATTGTTTTAATGGTTAGGATTATACTGGCTGTTAAACTGTTAACTGCTAATGAATAGTGGTTTTCAAGATGACAAAGTCCTCTTTTATAAAACTAAAGAGGGCAAAAACTAAGTGATGTTTGTTCATCCTCTACATTTTGTCAGTGGTTTGTTTGTCTGTTTGTTCATTTGTCTCCCACAAAAATATATTCTGATTTTATTTTTACCTTCATTACTATGAATCCAAAGAAGCAATGTAAGGTATTTCCAAGGTTTATTTTGATTTCTAAGTCCTACAACATTGTTTTATTTCAATAATAAATAATAAAATGTAATGCTATAACCTACTTATTTCTAAAATATATTTAGCTGTATCCCTCCAAGTTAAAACTACAAAACATATGCTACTACCAAATTTCTCTCAGCTGCACTGGGGAACTGAAATTGCAAAATACCAAAGAGTTCAAAAAGGGTACAAAAGTTTGGGGATTGAATGATGTGCTTATAATACTGAATCTTGACTTCATAAAGCATTATCTGAAACAATATATAAGCTGCAAACTAATTATTGGGCTGTTAAAAAATAAATAAATACTACAGTATGAGAAGTTATGATATTCCATAAGTTCAGGTATTTTGTGGAGCAACCACAGAATTATTAGGGCTTACAAGCTTATAAATAAATGTAATTATATTAATTATTCTTCTATTTTATATTTTATAAAATAAATATATAAATATATTATATATTATATATAGATATATAAATATAATTATATTTATATTTTGTATATTACATATATTAGTCTTCTTCCATGCAAATTTGATAATATTCTACAATAAGATACAAAAGGTAGTGCTCACCTCAGTGTCCAACAGTTAGCTGGCTTACAGCCATTCATCAGCTTCTGTAAAGACAATTAATATTTTTACTTAATAGAAAGGGATTTCATCCCAAATTAATTTGCAGAGCCTTTCTCAATTCCTACCCTAGAGGTAGTTATTTCCATTTATAGCAAACATTTTTTTGATTTTTTTTTTTTTTAAAGGGTGAGGTATGACTTGCTGAGACTTAAACAGTGGACACCTTGAGTTAGGTGGAGCACAGCTGCTCCAAATGCCCAGCATACTGGGCTGTTCAATGCACTGTGGGTCAGGTGCACTCGGTGACCGTCTGGGAGCTCTGCCAATGCGTATGGTCTTCTCACACTGACCAGGGCATGGGGATTAGTGGGGGTATCTTACTACAGCCTGTTGCATGGATAATTTATTTACAGTAAGTTGAAAAACTATGCTCTAAGAGAATTCAGAGAACTGTGGGACAGTGGCAACACCATTACAGTCTGGCTGGTGGGATCTCAGCAGGCTGTCAGAGTAACATCCTGATCTGGTGTGTCTTTATCTCGGTGCTGGAAAGCACACCTCCCAGCAGAAAAAGATTTTGCTATAAAGCTATTGTGGGGGCAGACTCCACAGTCCCCAAGAAGAGCATTGTCCCTACTGTGGGTACTGAAAGTACTATGAAAGTTTAGATGACAATGTCAGCAAGTTCTACAGTAACAGTGTGGTTAGATGAATACATAAAAGGTCTAAAAGACAAATTACAATATTCATTCTAACAAAATGTTGCTCTTATTTTTACACTTCTAAGCACTTGAGTAATTCTATTGACATAAGTGGACTATTCAGATAAATGAGTTTTCAGACATTATTCCACATTACACCTTGTTATTTCTTATTTGCAGCCGAAACTGGGTTATATTCTTCATAGCTTCTTGGGGCCTAAATATCCTAATATTTCTTTCATCATTAAGTGGAAATGGCAGGCTGAGGAGGGTGACAAAGTTGCTCTCGGGTACAAAATCAAGATAAATATACAGATAGACAAAGCTATCCACATGTGGGTGGGCATGACATCACAATAGTCCTATTTTTGAAATTAGCCATGACACATTTCAAATGTCGTCTCAATTTTAAGCCCTAAATAATTTAAGTTATAACCACTGTTCGGCCACCTGCACAAGTGATCTGCATCTTAGCTAATGAGGAACATAACAGCCTCACATGGAAGTACTCAAGGACCATACATATCAACTTCTCATAATAAAACCAAAAGAAAATGAATTCTTGATCAGATCATTCCTGGTTATATGACCACAAACTAAATAAATCATTTGATGTGTTGTGAAATGCATGACCATTTTCATCCCAGGATTTCCACACATCTATCATATATGACCTGTTAATACCTTATAACATGGTGAATAAAATACAGCAGAGTTCTCAGAAAGCAAAGAAAGAGGAAATAGGTATAAGAACAATCCATACAGACAATTAATTGTACTTCCTAATTTAACCTGGCCTACCAGCCACACATTGGCTCCTACATCAGTCATACATCAAATAGCTGGGCTAGATCAAACTGCCATAACTATTTGTTCTTCTCTTCAAACTTTTTACAGACCTCAGGGATTCTAGCTTCACGCCATCTCTTTGGTACATTTTGAATTGCTTGGTTTGTTCAGCTGCAAGTAATGATGGAGGTCTGCAAGTCTGTAGACTTCAGAGTTTTTATTCCTTTTTTTTTTTTTTTTTTTTTTAAGTATCTCCAAAAGCAAATACATTCAATAGGAGGATGCAGAATTAAAATTAGAAGCTATGAATAATCTGTCTCCCATCAGGATGTTTTTCTGCAAGGACTTGACTCTCCCTTACATTGAAGCAGACCTGGAACAACCTTTTCTGTGATGAACTCTCAGCAAGATATAAAGGAAAATTATTGAACCGCTGAACTGTTGTTACCTAGTCATACTCATTTGTTACTCCAAGACTCCTACTCTGATCTCATGTTGCTCAAGGAAGAGAATTGAGGAGTCACAGCTTGCAATACAATATACAGTGCTGAATAATAAGTGGGTAGTAGAGAATGGGTACATGCAATGAAGCAGGAGGATGCTCTGTAGAGTGGAGAAATGAGATCATGTTAAATGCCTGTGATCCCAGAGGTTAACAGCCTATTACCACAGAAACCATGCTGAAACAGGGTTTAAAACTCTTTCCTAGCCAAAGCTCCACAGCATCAGGGTTGGGTGCTTAGCACTATCCACCTAACTGCAGATAAACAGAATCCTACTTCTTTATAACTTGTTATTTTTGGCTGCCTTTGCCACCTTTTCTACTTATCCCCTTCTCAGTCTAACTGCTGCCATGGCAACATACAACCTTGCTCGTTCCCAGCTGGAATGGCGAAAGTAGATTTTCTGGAGTCAGAAGGGACTTACTAGGTCAGCTGGTGGGAGCCTGTGGTCTATGAAAAAGGTGAACGGACTTTTAGCATGTATCCAAGAGTGCTTGAGTGCTTTGATTCTTGTGCACTGTGGTTAAGAACCCTTAAGTACTGCAATTATGGGTATGGATGTAGCATACAGTTTGTAAGGTCACTATCCTTTTTACTTTACCTGTCTTTTTCAAGAATTGTTACTGATAATCACAGAATCAGAGAAACACAGAATTGTAGGGGTTGGATGGGACCTTGAAAGATCATCGGGTCCAAACCCCATGCCAAAGCAGCTTCCTTAGAGCAGGCTGCCCAGATGGGCCTTGAATATCTCCAGAGAAGGAGACCCCACAGCCTCCCTAGGCAGCCTATTCCAGTGCTCCATTACCCTCACCGTGAGGAAGTTCTTCTGCATGTTGTTGCGGAACTGCCTGGGCTCCATTTTGTGGACATTGTCCCTTGTCCTGTCCCCACAAACCACTGAAAAGAGTTTGGCCAAATCCCTCTGTCTCCCACACCTCAGGTATTTATACACATTGATGAGATCCCCTCCCAGTCTTCTCTTCTCCAGGCTGAACAGACACAGGTCTCTCTGCCTTTCTTCATAAGGAAGATGCTCCAGGCCCCGTATCATCTTTGTGGCCCTCTGCTGGTCTCTTTCCAGGAGATCCCTGTCTTTCTTGTACCAGGAAGCCCAGACCTGGACACAGGACTCCAGTTGAGGCCTGGCCAGGGCTGAGTAGAGGGGGAGGACCACCTCCCTTGACCTGCTTGCCACACTCCTTTTAATGCATGACAGGATGCCATTGGCCCTCTTGGCCATGAGGGCACACTGCTGGCTCATGGTCAACCTGTCATCCACCAGGACCCCCAGGTCCTTCTCAGAGCTCTTCTCCACCAGGTCATCCCCCAGCCTGTACTGATACTTTGGGTTGTTCCTTACCAGGTGCAGGACTCTACACTTGCTCTTATTAAATCTCATTTGGTTTCTTCCTGCCCATCTCTCCAGGCGGTCCAGGTCTCGCTGAATGGAAGCACAGCCTTCTGGCGTGTCAGCCACTCCTCCCAGCTTTGTGTCATCGGCATACTTTCTGAGGGCAGACACTATTCCTTCATCAAGGTCATCGATGAAGATGTTGAACAAGACTGGACCCAGCAACAACCCCTGGGGAACATCGCTAGTCAAAGGTCTATCATGTTAGGATAAGCATGTTAGTCAGACATACTTTCACACTAAATGGAAAATACACCTTCCTTTCTCTCACTATTAGAAACTTACATGAGCATGTAAGTGTATGTGCGTGTCTGTAATTAAAACACCAAACTAAAACAAAACAAAAATAACAGTAAAATGAAGTTGCTTGGGTTGTAAATTCAATTAATTTTTAGGAAATGCCAAATATATGGACATCCTAATTCTTTCTCTGGTATTTCTTCAAAATCCTGGGCAAGGTCAGATTTTCACATATATATACGTAATCCACAGGACTTCAATTTTGCAACCTAAGCAACAATCTTTCAGGAGTATTTTTGCACAAATTTTGGTAGAGAAAAGATGGAATTCAATGCTGTTACATATCAGAGAAATCTGATGGGATGGCATCACAAACTGCAAATACTTGAGCTACTTGAATACTCAAGTCCTCTGGACTGCATCTAGCTCTCTGTCAGGCAGCACAGAAAGGATGCAGCTTTAGGGGAAAGGCCCCAAGGGAGCAGGCAGCAGATCCTTGATTCAGAAGGTGGTAAGGTAGCCTCCTGCCTCTCACACTCTCTTTATTCCCTCTCTGATACTTAGGGCAGAGACTCCTGATACTCCTTGGATACTTAGGGCAGAGACTCCTGATACTTGCTTGCAGTCCTTCCAGACCATATGGTACCAGGGATAGAAGACTATCGGTCATATGTCTGTCCAGGAGATCAGCCCTCTGTCCCTCAGCAGTAGGGTTCCTTTTCCAGAAATTTTTCCAAGGATGTGGTAACCATCCTGACACTACACAGCAGTTGCAAGATGTGAAGTCTGGGTCACTCTCTACCACGTATGACAACTACCCCTCCTCTTCAGTGTTCCCAGAACAGTGCTGTTGGCTGCAGTTGTCCAGCTGCATTTTTGGCACTGTCTTGCATGAGGTTCTCTGGAATGATCCAGATTTTGGCAATCAGCAGCATTTTCCTGTAAAAGCTAAGGACAGTAATCCTCAACACTATACAGCTCAGCCAATCCATGTAGAATTTCTTCTGAGAAAGAAAAGATACTTTTCTCACCTATGTAGCTATCACATGCCAAATAACAAAGCCTTGATGGAAGCAGTGGAGGTACCAGAATTTCTCAAAGCAAAGACCACAATAATTCCTTTAGGTGATCTGCAGAATGAGATTTCCTGGCAGGTCCTTCATTAATGATTAGTGAAAATTTCCCTTCTCCTAGCATCTCCAGCAAGCCCATCATATAAACGCATTCAGAATCTGATCAAAGTTTATAATTATTTTTTGGTAACAGCTGAAGCTGTGGTTGAGAAAATTACAATTCTTTAATAAAAGCTTCTCTAATTTATCTCACAGATTATTAAAAGGTATGCAGATACGTAGCAAAATAAAGATGAGGACAAGAACATGTCCAGAGATGATCAG